TAAATATTTATAAATAGTAAATAGAACAAATGTTCTTTCTATGTAAATAACAGAATGAATTGCAAAATTTGGTATAGAAATTACAAATAATATATAGTTTTGTTTATAGAGCTTGTTGCTAAATTCCTTAAATCGATATCCATTCATGATTCCATCAAATTTGAAGTATTCGAAATATTCTTCTCAAGATTAAATTCAATGTTTTCTTTCAGCAGAGTTGAAAGTTCTATGGCAGAGTTCAACGTTAGCAAAAGGCATAGTCACAGCTTATTTATTTTCAGCATAATTCTACGAAAGATTCTGTATAGAAAACCGAAAGAGCTGTGAGTATCGTTGATCAAATTGTTTACGAAAAATGCTGCAATGCTGTAAAGATGCCAATTGTTGCTATTGTTGTTGTTATTATTTCTTGTTCTTCTCCCATTTTATTTTCTTTTCATTATATTTTGCTGTGATGGGTGCTGCTATTATTGTTATTATTGTTGTTGTTGTTGTTATAGGCATTGATTGTGTCATACAAGTTTAATCTTAGGTTTCGAAGTAATTTAGAATATTTACTCTAAACATTCCGCATCAGCAATGAATTTCTTAGTTATGACATTGTTCAAATTCCAATTGAAGTAAGCAACAATATCTCATTTTGTTTATATTTGCCATGTTTTTCACTTGTTATTCCTAGGATGGGCTCGTTCAACTCGGCGCCCAAAATAAACAATGTGGACTCACAAGACGATGGCCTGGAGCTGCCCAAGGGCCTAAGCACTGACGCTCTGCTCGACCATGTGCGACAGCTGCACGGCTCAGGCGTGGGCAAGCCCTCGCTGCTGAGCCGCTGCTTCCTCAGGCCCCCCCTGAACAGCGAAGACGTGACCGACGGCCTGCGTTGCCTCCAGCTGAACTCCGTCTCACGTGGTAAGCTCACACAAAGCAATCGCACTCCCAGCCGTTACTCACATCTCCGTCCCATCCACACACAGTTTGCAGTGCTCCCAGCGACGGCGCGCAGCACATTCGATTGCTGCAGTGGAACATTCTCTCGCAAAGTAAGTAAAATATGTGCACTCTGTTAAAATATATCTTTGTGTATATGTTTAGATATGAAAAAAAGACTAAAACAAAAATAATAAGAATTAAATTTATGTAAATCAAAATATAAAACAAATTCTAATATTAATTTAATATTTTTCTCTCCAAAAAAAAAAAAAAAAAAATGAAATAAAATAAAATTAAAATTAAAATAAAAATAAAACAGAAAGGTAAAAAAATAAATAAATAAAAATAAATTAAACTAAATAAAAACATTAAAAAATTTTTTAAAAATTTTCAATTTATGTAAAATTTATTATATATTTATTTTTTTATATTTTTTCAATAATTTTATTAGATAGTCAATTAATTTATAGTCTCTCAAAAGCTTATGAACGTGATCCATTTTATTTATCTATCGAATATTTACGGATTATAAAATAATAATAGGAATATAAATACAAATTTTAATCCAATATATATATAGAAATCATTAAATTCATCAATATCTTAAACAAAATTTTTTTAAGTACATATAAAAATATATAAAATATAAATCTTTTACAATGTCTCGTAATTTATTGCTAATCGTAATATCCGTAAATCTTTTCGCAGCTCTCGGCCAGCACAACGATGGCTTTGTGCGCTGCCCCGACGAGGCTCTAACCTGGCAGCATCGCAGGTACTTGATCGTGCAGGAGATACTGCAAAATCAGCCGGATGTTGTTTGTCTGCAAGTATTTATTTGTGCCCAGTGTTTGGTGGAATGCAGTCGCGCTTTAACATCTCGTTTGCTCTTTGTACCCGACAGGAGGTGGATCATTTCAAGTTTCTGCAGAATGTGCTGGGCAGCCAGAACTATGATGGCATCTTCTTTCCCAAGCCGGACTCGCCCTGTTTGTACATAGAGGAGAACAATGGCCCCGATGGCTGTGCCATCTTCTACAAGCGCGACAAGCTGCAGCTCATCGGCTATGACACACGCATCCTGGAGGTGTGGCGCGTGCAGAGCAACCAGGTGGCCATTGCTGCGCGGCTGCAGCTGAAGGCCACCGGCCGGGAGTTCTGTGTCTGCACCACCCACCTGAAGGCGCGCCACGGTGCTCTGCTGGCCAAGCTGCGCAACGAGCAGGGCCGCGATCTGATACGCTTTGTGAAGCAGTTCGCCGGCGAGAGTCCCCTGCTGCTGTGCGGCGACTTCAATGCGGAGCCCATTGAGCCCATCTATGCGACGATTCTCAGCTGCGATCTGTTCAAGCTGGGCAGCGCGTATGCGGACATTAAGCTGGAACGGGAACGGGAGCGGGAGCGGGAACGGGAACGGGCAGATCAGGAACAGCTGACGGCCAGCTGCGACGATCCCAATGAGCTCATTGCGCAGTCCATCAAGCGCGAGCCTCCGTACACCACCTGGAAAATTCGCGAAGATGGCGAAGAGTGCCATACCATCGACTATGTGTTCTACACGCCGCAGCAGCTGAAGGTGAGTGGGCGTGGCAGCAACTAAATTAAATAAAACACACTTTAATCTCCAATGATGTTTCGCAGATCAAGAACTGCCTGGAATTTCCGGCCGGAGAACAGATCGGCAAGAATCGTGCGCCCTGCTTTGAATATCCCTCGGATCATTTTTCGCTGGTCTGCGACTTTGAGCTGCTCGATGAGCCCCTTTCGGAAGACAAGAGCAAATCGCATGGCACCATACAGTAGAGCTTGTCCGTGCACGCAAACAGCTACACAAACACAAACAAAAACACACACATACAGCAATTACATAATAAATTGTGATATTAGCTCTTAGATACATTTTTAGCCATCTATACATAATATGTACGTACGATCCATACTATATATGAGCGTAGCACGGCAAAGCTTGCTAAGGCGAGACATCAATACAGACAGATTTCTCAATAAACGAGTGTAACTTTGTAGGATCAACTGTATGTTAAACTATAGAATAATTGGATTCAGATTTCATTTTTGATAACACGTAAGAAGGGGAGATTCTCACATTTAATTGTACAAGGATTCTGGCTGGAATTTGATATTAGTGTTTCTCTATACATTATTAACTTTAAATATTACTAAATGTCTATTTAAACTGTAAGCTTCATAGTGTATAAAATTTTGTGAATAATAATTTTTAGTAACTGTGTGGAGTCATCGAATCTGAACTTATTTTCCAGGAGACTAGATAGGCAATTTGATTTCCCTACAGATTAATTTATATTCTATTATTTAGATATTGGATTGGATACATGTTTATATACCTCTGCTAGTCAAGCTTCGAATATGAATTGGTTGGCCAAATCAGACCACTTAATCAAATGGAAACCGCTTTATCATAGTATCCACTCCTTTAGAGGGAAATCAATTAGTTGTATATGGTGACACACAAAAGAACGCCTGATTCTATACAAAGCTGGGCGGGAATCCAGCATTGGATCTATAAAAAAGTGAAAGTACAACAATTGATATAACAGCGTAGGTTCGACAGGCCTCGCCTGAGGCCGATGGGATCAGAAATCGATTGCAGTCTAATATATTATCGTATATTATATCATTGCGGCGTATCACCTTTTCCAGGGATGTCTTAGCTTTCACTCGTAACCTATAGCATCGTTAGTCGATTTTGATATGATACTCGCACTCACAGATGCTCTTACTGATATTGGTATAGATCACCTGAGCCCGGATTCGATATTTATTATAAAATTATTTGCTGGATGTATTTCTGTCCACGGCTGCGTCTGAAACATACCTCAAACTGTCTTAGCAACTCATTTAGGGATAGCCAGTCTTATATAAGACATATACATGTTATTCAATGCGATCAAGTGATTTGAACTCCACCATGGAAATAGTCCCACATCAGAATACAAAAACTTTCCATTACAGCACAGATTCGAATTTGTTCGTATTTATTGTGACGTCATTTTCTCACAGTGTTGCACACCCACTAGCATAGCTAATGGAGCCCATGTCAAAGGTAGAGTAGTTTGATATCAAGCTTCAGCTTCGACACTAATTTAGTAAGCTAATAGCACAAAACACGATATCTGGCAAATTGCACTGGCTAGAACGAACTGGTGATGGTTATTGCATAACAGAGCAAAATGCAGATACAGATATTATAAATAAACTGTACATGTATTATGCATTTAACAAATAATAGACATGTTCGCACTAAAATTTAACTGGGTCCGCGCTGCGTTTAGAGAAGGGCCAGGATGGCGGTTAGCACGACGGAGGTGGCAACCATTACATAACCGGTGGAATAGACCTCTTTGATCTTGAGGAAGCGGCCAGTGTCCCAGAGCAGATGGCGGACGCCGTTGGCGGCGTGGTAGCCAAACGGATAGGCGAGAATGAACTTGATGGCGGTCAGGGAGGCGCCGCTCAGCTGTAGACCCTCCACCATGGTGACGTAGTGGCTGATGTCTTGAGAGGCGACCAGAGCGCCAATGCCCAAGCCCCAAACGCCGACGCCCAGGACCAGGCCGGTGCCGCGGTGCATGACGGACAGTATGGAGGTGAGCTGCGGCTTGTAGATGGTCAAGTGGGGTGACATCTCGCGACCCAGGCGTTGGTTTTTCTCAAAGAAGCTCTCATCCTTGATGGTTGAGCCGACAGAGACAACTTTCAGGGAGACCTGACGATTGGCCGCGGCCTTTTGTAGGCCTTGGCGGAGCGCTGATGAGCGCATAAGAGAGCTGCTGAGAGCATACCTAGAAGATTTACAATTAATTTTTCTTTTCCAAAAACGTTGGCGATAGATGAAATACGCACATTCTGTTTCTTTTCGCTTAAAACTTGCACGCAATGTGGCAGCAATTCACATGCGAAAAAATACCAAAATAAATGATGTGGCTGCACAATGCAAATATATCGATAGCTAAGTTTATAGACATGTAATTGTAGGAAAGTGATTTTCTTTTTGCTGATATTTCTAATAAATCCAAATTATTTTACTAAATATCAATGAAAAATATCATATGGCATTTAATAAAGCGCCAGGCAGGAACGTCAACAATCAGGTACATCAGCTGCTCTTACTTGCGTCAGCGACTCAATTTTGCGCTTTTACTATTCTGCTGCGTGTTGCAGGCTCAATGCTACGAAACTAGTCTTTCGCACAAACGGCTGCAATGAGCGCTGCTCCACGGCCCGAACCATCTTCAGACAGAACCAACTCATATCTTACAGTGCCATTCAGCAGCAAGTTCATATTTTGCATTAATAGCCTATGATAATGTGGATGAAACCGATAAACACTGCCGTCAATACCCACTGACAAGTCCTTGACATTCATTTTCCTGATCAGACAGACCAGTCCACAGGCTGCCAATTTAGCGGAGCGCGTAGATATAGTTTCGCATATATAGCGTAGGCACATTAGATCCTTTTCGTTGGAAGTTCTAATGCCCAGATTATCCATTACCATTGCAGCATTGCGATACTTGCCCGGATCGTCCGACTCAATCTCCGTTATAAAACGAGTCTCAAATCTGCCTCTTTCTTGCAGGGTCTGCGACTTTACTCCTTTGAAAATCATATCCTTGTCCATCAACTCCACCAAAATGTGACGCACCAACTCTCCCATATACATGCCAGAGATGCACTTCTCGAAAATCTGTTTCTTGGGATTAATGGAATGACTATCCACTTCAACATCGTAGCGAGTGCGCACAAAGTCCAGTACGCCGTTGTCCCCGAAAGCGCCCCACTCGCAGTTGATGATCATATGGGGTTTCGAGCTGTTTTGATATCCCGGAAACATTTCCACATTCGATGTCTTCTCTACATAGCAGGCGTTACTTCCCGTGCCCACAATCATACCGATTTTACAATTCTGCCGGTGAAAGGCGCAGGACATCAAAGTTCCCGTCGTATCGTTGAGAATGGCCACGATTTGGACCTTAAGGTCGCCCCGACGGGTGATAGCTTCACGAAGCAACTCAACGACGTTCTTGTTAACCACGCCATCAGCCTTGAAACCCTTCGTCCAGGCGACTAGAGTGCCGTTGTCAATGCTTTGCTGCTTGCATGGAAAAGAGAATGTGAAGCCAAGAGGTAAATTAGCATTTTCGAGCTTATGTTCTTTGCAAAAGTCAGATAGACACTGCGCAATAAAGTCGAATAGTTTGACACCGGAACCCTCCATTAGCTCCTTGCTAATGCTGTAGGTCTTGCCATCGATATTAACAGAGGACTCGGACTCCAACGTGACCAATAGAACTCGAAAGTTAGTTCCTCCAAGATCCAGCGCCAGGTATCTTCCTCTCTCACGGCCAGAGGGCAGGTCTTGTACGTAGGTGGTGAAACACTTTATTGTAGCTCTTGGATGCGTCTCTTTTGCAAGACCCATGGAGATTTCCCTGGTCATCCGCAGAACAATCTCCTCCATTTTGTGTTGATCTATTTCGAACTGCTGACAGATTTTGTAAGCTTCGGGATAAAGTGTTCGTACTTCATCCATGGCCAAGGAATATCCAAGGAAGAGGGCGCTCTGTCAGCTACTTTGAATTTAGAATTTTTATTGGCTTTGTGATTTTTAACTAAAACTAAATTTAAAATAGAAGTGACATTTTAAATTTACGTTGAGTCAGACCGCCTACACAGTCCAATAATTTCAAAATAACTTGATTTGCAAATAATGTTATTGAAAATAAGACCACGTGGCTCCATGTGGAATGATCCTCTTTAAATAATTCATTTCAAGAGGTCAACAATTGTAGTTCTGACTGTAAAATATGACTCAATAGTGTCTTCTAAAATTAGAATGATATTAACTTGAATTGTTGATGGCTAAATTACCATGCAGTATTCCTCGATTTGAAATACCCCAGTAGGCTGGGATAATATCTACTGTAGAAGAGGTTAACAGTAAAGTTAGTTGGGTTTGCAGGGCTAAAGTTGAAACTTTCAACTTGAAAGGGTAGACGATAGTCACGCAAATTGGCACTAATTCAACTGAAGTCACATTTAATATTATATCCAAGTTTCAAACCTCATACGATGCGCACGCTTACAGAGGCTGTCTGCTATATGGATGAGTCTGCAGTTAACTGGCTGCTATGAAACGATAAGAGTAGCGCATTTTGAAAAAGTTGAAGCGCTAGGGTATCAAGTAGTTTTTTAGTTAGATAATCCTTAAATACCAAAACAAATTAAGTGAGACTTTATGGGTTCCATTCTTTAATACAAAGATCTACCTAGTACGTTAGCTCTGTTATAAAAAAAATTAAGAGTTTATATACGTTTGAAGCAGGTCTTTGAAAAGAATATCAAAAGTGCCTGAATGTCCAAAAAACTTTCTGAATAAACCGACGCACTGTTGGCAAGCTTGCTGGTGCCGGTGCATTTAAAAGAGACGAACTTGATTGTTTTTTTGACGGCAAGTCTTGCGGTGGAGTCGGTGGATGTCGTGTGTAGACGGCAGCAGTTAAAGCCGCGCCACGACCCGAACCATCTTTGGAAAGATTCAGCTCAAATTTAGCCGAGCCCTTCAGCAGTAATTTCATATTTTCCATCAACAGCCTATGATAATGCGGATGAGAGCAATATACACTGCCATCAATGCCTACTGCTATGTCCTTGACTTTCGTTTTCTTGATCAAAGAGACCAGTCCACACGCCGCCAGCTGGGCTGATCGTGTGGATATCGCTTGGCATATGTGGCGCAGACAAAGTAAATCCTCCTCGCTAGTTCCCCTGACGCCTAGCTTATCCATCACTTTGCAGGCATTGCGTATCTCACCCGGTTTGTCCGACTCGATCCCATTTAAAAAACGGGTATCAAACTTCTCCCTCTCACGAAGAATCTGGGCCGTTGCTTCCTTGAAGAGGACGCCCTTGTCCATCAAATCCACCATAATGTGGCGCACCAGCTCGCCCATATACTTACCAGAGATGCACTTCTCGAACACCTGTTTTGTGGGATATAAGGACTCCCTGTCCACTGCCTTATCGTACGAAGTGCGCACAAAATCTAGCTCACCATTCTCCCCAAACGCGCCCCACTCGCAGTTGATGATCATATGGGGCTTTGTGCTGGTCTGATATGACGGAAACATTTCCACGTTTGACGTTTTCTCCACGTAGCAGGCGTTTGTGCCCGTACCTAGAATCATTCCGATTTTGCAATTCTGATTCTGAAAAGCGCAGGACATCAAAGTTCCCGTCGTATCGTTGAGAATGGCTACGATATCGACTTTGAAGTCACCTCGACGGCTGATGGCTTCTCGAAGCATCTCAACAACGTTCTTGTTAACCACTCCCTCAGACTTGAAGCCTTTCGTCCAAGTTACCAGAATTCCCTGGTCTATACCAATATGTTTGCATGGAAAAGAAAATGTGAAACCAAGGGGCAAATTGTCATTTTCTATTTTATGCTCCTTGCAAAACTGTGCTATACTCTCGGCAAGAAAATCAAACAACTTGATTCCCGGGCCTTCCATAATTGCCTTGCTAATGCCATAAGTCTTGCTAACTACATCAATTTGCCTTGCTGAAATTAAATTAACCAAAAGTACGCGAAAATTCGACCCCCCCAGATCCAGTGCTAGGTACTTTCCCCTTTCGTTGCCAGTGGGAAAGTCTTGCACGCAGGTCTCAAAGCACTTTATCGAAGCACTCGAATGTGTCTCCTTTGCAAGACCCATACAGATTTCGTGGGTCATTGCTCGAACAATCTTTCTCATTGCCCCTTCGTCAAGCGCGAACTGTCGACAGATTTCGTAAACTTCTGGGAACTGCTGCTCTAATTTACCCATCGCCCAGATGCGTTATGAGCTTGTTCAGACGTAGAATTTGTTGAGCTTTTTCAAAAAATAAATACATCATTCTTTCCGAGTGCTTAGATTTCCATATATGTAAATAAACAAACATATTTATATCCCGATGTGAGCAAACCAAAGAAATCTTTAAAAGCAAAAGAAAACAAAATTAACTATTTTATAAAAAATGCATTAATATATCTAAATAGTTAAATAAGTGTATCAGAAGTATACGAAAACACAAACTACGTGATAAATATTTTTTTTTGTTTGATTGTTGATGTTAGACCCGCAACAATAGCAGCACCCACTCCTGGACTATCATCTGAGGCGATGATCTCAAATTTATTCTGGGGATCGGTCAGCATTAGCGTATACTTATAGAGGTTCTCCTGGTAAGTGGGATACAAGCGATATACACCGCCCTCAACCGCTATAGAAATCCGGGGGTAGCTCATCCGATTGATCAGGCAGGCTAAGCCAGCAGCCACCAGCTTGGCGGAGCGGATTCCGACTATCTTGCATATGAAGCGCAAGGTGGCCAAATCACGTTCACTGCAGTTATGAATGCCGAACTTGTCCATGACTTTCTGAGCTTGTATGTAGACATTTGGAGGATCTGACTCGATTTCCACAATCGATTTCATTTCCATTTTCCATTCAATGCCGATATAGGCCATGCTCGCGCCCTTAAAAATCACTCCCATATCTATCAGACGCACAACTATGAGGCGCACCAGTTCACCCAAGTTAAGGGTGCTGATGCATTTCTCAAAATACTTCATGCCCGGATTGTTGGAGTGCGCATCGATGATCTTGTCGAACTCATTGCGCACAAAGTCCAAGTGGCCGTTGGAACCAAAATTTCCCCAATCAGTGTTGACGATCATCAGTGGATGCTTTGACTCCTCTTCGATTCTTTCACATGCTTCAGCCTGCTCCACATAGGCGGCATTTGTGACTAATCCAACAATAAGGCCAATTTTACAATCGGGACAAGACCAGGCGAGTGCCATCAGGGAACCGGTGGAAATGTTAACAATTGAGTTCAGGTTTATTTTTATATCCTTGAACTCGTCCAGGGCGTTCCGCAGCAGCTGCACCACATTCTTGCCAATGGCGCTTTGGGCTCCGTATCCTTGAGTCCATCTGATCAGAATGCCCACATCCAGCGACAGCTGGTTCAGGTCGAATGCAAATGCGATCCCCATGGGCAAGTTATCCTTTTCCACTTTCTTAGCTCTGACAAATATTGCAATATTCTGAGCTAAAAAGTTAAAAAGTATGGTGCCGCGAGATGCGGCTATCGTATGTGGTATGATGACGCATTTAGAGCTCATGTAAATGTCATTCTCGCTGCTGAATTTGACCAGCATGATACGGCAGTTGGAGGGCCACATCTCTAGGGCAAGGAAACGACCTCGCTCATCTCCCGACGGCAGCTGCTGCACGTAGCTGAGCCAACTGGGTATGGAGGATCGACTATGGGTATCCTTGCCCAGACCGTTGAGTAATTCACGGGTCATTGAGTTCCGGATGGTTACCAGGGCGTCATCGCTGAGCATAAATGGCTTTAATATCTTCCACGCCTGCGGAAAGTCAGTTTCGGGATCATATTTCTGCATCTTCGAGAAGAAACGTGAATTTTGTGAATATTAATTTTTCTTGAAAATTTTCTTCTATATACTTTTCTTTTCGTATTTTTCCATTGAATACAATATTTTGAATTGGAGAGTATTAGTTATTTATTTTCAGTTTGAAAATGATTAAAAAGCAAAAACGGGTGAGAAACTTGCTTGAATGCAGTTATAAACAAGCCCGAGTTGGTGGTCCAATCTCTGACATTTTATATCTGCAACGTTTGCAACTGAGCTTCAATATATTGAAAATAAAACTAAAATTGAAAAAACTCTTTGAATACATAATGCTGAAACGGTAATTGTCACCGACTATCCAAAGTAGACGATCTGCCCGTGCTATTTAGTCCTTATAATGTCTGAGATCGTCAAGTTCCTATATGCTTATCCTGATCACGCCTTCTAAAACCATCCATGCATGGCTAGTGTTCTTTTCATTTTAAAGACAACTAAAGAGGACTAAATGACTTTTATCAAATATCAAGTATATTTGTGCATGTTAAAAGCATTTGATAATTTATTCAAAATTTAATCAATATTTTCAGTGATTTTTACTTTCGATGCTAGACCAGCTACGATAGCAGCACCCACCCCGGGGCTGTCTTCTGAAATGACATACTTAAACTTGTTGTTTCGGTTGGTAAGCATTAAGGTATACTTGTTGAGATGTATCTGGTAAGCGGGAAACAAGCGGTATACACCTCCATCGACAGCAATCGAAATGTTGGGGTAGTTCATTCGATTGATCAGGCAGGCTACACCGGCAGCTACCAACTGGGCGGACCGGAGGGTGACTATCCGACATATGAACCGAAGCATAGCCAAGTCACGTTCGCTGCAATTTCGGATACGAAACTTTTCCATGACTTCCTGCGCACTTGTATAAACATTAGGTGGATCCGATTCGATAGCCATAATCGATTTCATTTCCATTTTCCATTGAATATCGAAGTAGTCCATGCTCGCACCCTTGAAAATGGCTCCCATTTTCACTAGACGCACGACTATGAGGCGCACAAGCTCGCCCATGTACAACGTGCTGATGCACTTCTCATACAACTTCTTGCCCGGCTCGCTGGACACAGAGTCAACTAATTTGTCGAACTCATTGCGTATGAAGTCCAAGTGGCCATTAGCTCCAAAGTTTCTCCACTCTGTGTTGATGATCATCAACGGCTGTTTCGTACTCCCCTCATACATTTGGCACTCATCGGTCTGCTCCACATAGGCGGCATTTGTGGATGTGCCAACGATCAGGCCGATTTTACAGTTGGGATACGACCAGGCAAGCGCCATCAGTGTGCCGGCGGAGATGTTGACAACTGAATTCAAATTGATGCGTATATCCTTGTACTCATCCAACGCGTTCTGCAGCAGCTCCACGATGTTTTTGCCCACCGCGCCTTGAGCGCCATAGCCCTTGGTCCATCTAAGCAAAATACCCACATCGAGGGATAGCTTGTTGAGCTCAAAAGCGAACGCAATCCCCATTGGAAGATTATCCTTCTCAACCTTTTTATCTCTCACAAATACCGCTATGTTATGCGCCAGAAAGTTAAAGAGCGCAGTTCCCCGCGACGCGGCTACCGTATGGGGCACAATGACGCACCTGGAGCTCATGTAGATGTCCTTCTCGCTGCTAAACTTGACCAGCATAATGCGGCAGTTGGTGGGCCACATCTCCAGGGAAAGGAAACGCCCTCGTTCGTGTCCAGTCGGCAAATCCTGTACGTAACTCAGTAAACAGGGTATTGAGGATCGTGCGTGCATGTCCCTGAGCAGACCGTGCTGTAGCTCGCGTGTCATTGAGTTTCGGATGGTTACCAGAGTATCGTCGCTGAGCATAAATGGCTGCAATAGTTTCCACGCCTCTGGAAAGTCTTTCTCGGGATCATATACTTCCATCTTATTTAAAATAATATTTACGAGAAATTTTGATTCTGATTCTGGAAAGCTATGCTGTATTGTCTACCTATTTATAGTGTTGAATGAAGCAAACAATTTAGATTGAAATATATTTTGTAGTTTATTTAAATTGATAATATTGTATAAGCTATTTATACTCGTTCAGGATCCAAACACATTCTAAAGAGATGCCGCAGTTAGTTAGTTGTTAGTTAGTAGTTGACTTAACTGTCCATTTGTAAGGTATTAATCCCTAATCCTTGAAAGATTTTTATGAATTGAACTCAGAATAAGAAATTCATAGATTATAAGGCATTCAAATTTGATAAAAATACATTTGAAAAGTCATTCTATATTGCAATATTTAAATATTACAGAGTGCATTCATTGTCGCCCTAATCAAACACAAGTGCTCTAACTAACTTAACTAACTCAACTAGACTGACGGAGGCCTGGTGTCTAGTTGGTTTTAATAACTCGGATTACTTGAATCGGTGAAGTCAATACGCAGAATTTCTAATATGTAATATGTAGATGTATTCAAGTAGTTCAATATTCAATGTCAGGATCAATCTAATGCATACATGTTACATGAAAATATCTTATTTGGATGATAATGCTAGACCAGCCACAAGAGCAGCACCCACTCCTGGACTATCATCTGAGGCGATGATTTCAAATTTATTATGGGGATCGGTCAGCATTAAGGTATACTTATAGAGGTTCTCCTGGTAAGTGGGATACAAGCGATATACACCGCCCTCAACCGCTATAGAAATCCGGGGGTAGCTCATCCGATTGATCAGGCAGGCTAAGCCAGCAGCCACCAGCTTGGCGGAGCGGATTCCGACTATCTTGCATATGAAGCGCAAGGTGGCCAAATCACGTTCACTGCAGTTATGAATGCCGAATTTGTCCATGACTTTCTGAGCTTGTATGTAGACATTTGGTGGATCTGACTCGATAGCCAAGATCGACTTCATTTCCATTTTCCATCGTATTCTTAAGGACTGCATGCTCGCACCCTTAAAAATCACTCCCATATCTATCAGACGCACAACTATGAGACGCACCAGTTCACCCAAATTCAGTGCGCTGATGCATTTCTCATAATATTTCATGCCCGGATTGTTCGACTGCTCGTCAATTATCTTGTCGAACTCAGTGCGCACAAAGTCCAAGTGGCCGTTGGAGCCAAAATTACCCCAGTCAGTGTTGACGATCATCAGTGGGCGTTTTGTATCCTCTTCAAACCTTTCGCACGCGTCAACATGCTCCACATAGGCGGCATTTGTGACTAATCCAACCATAAGACCAATTCTACAATCGGGACAAGACCAGGCGAGTGCCATCAGGGAGCCGGTGGAAATGTTAACAATTGAGTTCAGGTTTATTTTTATATCCTTGAACTCGTCCAGGGCGTTCCGTAGTAGCTGCACCACATTCTTGCCAATGGCGCTCTGAGCACCGTATCCCTGAGTCCATCTGATCAGAATGCCCACATCCAGCGAAAGCTGATTCAGGTCGAATGCAAATGCGATCCCCATGGGCAAGTTATCCTTTTCCACCTTTTTAGCTTTTACAAATAATGCAATATTCTGGGCTAAAAAGTTAAAAAGTATGGTGCCGCGAGATGCGGCTATCGTATGTGGTATGATGACGCATTTAGAGCTCATGTAAATGTCATTCTCGCTGCTGAATTTGACCAGCATGATACGGCAGTTGGAGGGCCACATCTCTAGGGCAAGGAAACGACCTCGCTCATCTCCCGACGGCAGCTGCTGCACGTAGCTGAGCCAACTGGGTATGGAGGATCGACTATGGGTATCCTTGCCCAGACCGTTGAGTAATTCACGGGTCATCGAGTTCCGGATGGTTACCAGGGCGTCATCGCTGAGCATAAACGGCTTCAATATCTTCCACGCCTCCGGGAAGTCGGTTTCGGGATGGTACCTAGTCATCTTAGGGAAAGAGTAAGTGTGGAAACCGGGAAATTTGTACACAGTGTTTGTATATTTGTGGACTTTGTGTGCGGTATTTGTGTATAGATGTTGCTTGTTCGGTGTACATTTGTTGAATGAAATATCATATTTGGAGTGAACAAAATGTTGTGATTTATTTACAGTATTCAAGTTGTGTATAGAGTGTAAAAAAAAATGCTTCAGAGAAATGCTTAAGTGGCTAATTTGGTTATCAGAGAAACATATGGACATGGGCTGTCTGCTATGAGCATGCATGGGCAGTTAGCTGCCTGCTATGACACGATGAATTCCGCGGTTATTGCTTGAATGAGGTTAGGTTAACGCGCCTTTGCTTTTAGAGCTAGGTTAAACTTAAACGCAGCGAGTAACAATTACATATGTATGTGTAAATAATTAATTAATTAAATATTAATCTAGGCAGCGCTCTGCTGCGCTTGTCACGTCAGAAATATGTCGGAGAACTCGCCGTGCAGCAGATCCGCGAACGGATGGAAGCCGTCCAGGGCCGCCAACGGGCTGATGCAGGCCGATGGCTGCTGATCGCTGGCAAAGTCAAAGGAGTCTGTCGACTGGTCCAGCAATCGCAAGCTCAGCTCCACATCCGGCTTCTCCAGCGTCAGGTTCATCGAGATGGGCAGGTCGCCGCGGGAGGGCAGTGCGGCGTCTGCGGGAACCAGCAGCTCTGGATGATAGCTGTTGAGGCAGTGCAGCGAGTCGCTGTCCGACTCCAGCAGCAGGGTGTTCAGCTCGTCCAGCGCTTGCATGCCCAGCAGGCTGTCCGTGTCCAGAGCTGCGCTGCCGTGCACGCTGCCGCTGCTGCTGCTGCTGCTGCTGGAGGCGGCGGAGGAGAGCGATGCATAGGCCGAGCTGGGCGAGGAGGCGGCTGCGCAAAAGGCGGGCGAGCCCACGGAAGAGGAAGCATAGCATGATTCCGGCGAGCTAATGGGCACGTTTTTGGCATTTGTCATTGTGGGCGTGGCTGTTGCTACAGCTGCCTTGGATTGCTTGCACTGGCGCTTGGCAGGCGTCTTCTTGCTGGACTTGACTGGCTTCTTGGGCTTGGCTGGTGGCGTTGGCTCCCGCTGCCGCTCAATGTCCAAGTCCAGATCTGGCTCGGTGTCCACGCTGACGTGCGCCTCTCGGCTGGCACTCTCGCGCAGGCACTCGACTAGGAACTCGCTCTCGTAGCTGGGATCTTGCAGGGACTCAGTCAGCATGCCAATGTACTTCATGGCCAGCCGCAGCGTCGTTATCTTGGTCAGCTTCTCGTTGGTGTTGGCCGCATCCTCCCCCGTAATGGACTGCGGCACACAGTGTCGCAGGTGCTCGAACGCCATGTTGATCTCCCGCATGCGCGTCCGCTCCCTGGCGTTGGCTGTCTTCCGGCGATACTTGCTGAGCGGAGGCGCTTTCGTCTTGGCTGGGTTCTTGCTCTTGGCCTTGCTGCAGACGGCCTCTGCGGGCTGCAGCTCTGGGGCGGGCGCGGCTATCGGGGCGGGCAGCTCGCTGGGCAGGCGCCTCTGTCTCTTCTGGCGCAGCGAGTACTTCTCGCCCCGTCGACTGCCTGCCGCAGTGGCTGCCTTCCGCTTACGTGAATCCTTCGCGCTCGGCGGCTCCGCTTGATCTGTGTCCAGCTCCATGTCCGAGTCGGCGTAGTTGTGCAGCTCATACGCGTCCGATTTCATCTGTAACGAGGTTCAAGAGCGAAAGTTCGCGTCAGTTCTAATATTTCATTGATTGGTTAAGTTTTTTGGGCGGCTGAACGCTTCTTGAACGCAGGCGTGGGCTGTGCCGCCCCAGCAATCAAAAGCAATTAACAATTTGTTTGAATTGCCCAAAAATGCTGTTCCATCACAATCGACTGTCGAACGGGGCAAATCAATGGACCGTAACGTGTCTAGCCCACCCGCCAAAGAAAAAAAAGAAACTGCTGCTTATTGAAGTCGCAGTTTACCACGGCGGTGCCATGTGATGGTGGTGTGGTGTGGTGTGGTGTGGGCGCTTCCTTCATGCCACCGTCGTTAAAACCCAGTGAAGCCGAAAAACGCATCGACCAAAAAGTCATAAACAAATTTATTCTTAGGCAGGGCTCAGCTTTTCCAATTTGGACTTCATTAAAACAAACTATTTTCCAATTCCTCAATCAGACGCTCTGCACATTGCGCAATCGCAAATGCTGCGAATCGCCTGAGTCTTAGTCTGTGTTTGAGTCGGAGTCGGAGTCTTGGGCTGAGCGTGATTGAGTGCCTCACATATTCAATCGTTGGCCTGACTCATGCCCGGCCGCCCAGAAACGGACAATGCGCACAATTCGATTCGTCAGCGGATCGCGTTGCTAATCCCAAAAAGGTTGCCTCAAGGCGGCAGCTGCGGCACTTGCAACGCGCCACTGCAAACATCTCGATTTTAATCGTTGCGCAATTGACGTTTGCCTATCAAATTTAAGGCTATGCTCGATCTCTGGCCAGCGCACACATCTATGCACATGGGCGTGGCCAATGGAGGACTGAGATTGATAATATATATTAACTAAAGTGTGACTCAGGCTGCCTTCGTGCAGATTGCCTGATTGATATGTTGGATTCTTTCACATACATATACATGCAAGTATATATTATCAGTATATATTTTTAATTTAACTTGAAGATTTTAAATTCACTAAATTGATATGGCCATATATTTAAGTAACTTAACTGAAATCTAGAAAATGATTCAACCTATCTAAGTGCAGATTCCTTGATATAATTATATGACTCCTTCACATTAATATTTGTAAACAATTGAAAATTAAACTTTTAGATTTTTAGTTCATTAAATGAGGTTTTGAGGATGAAGAACTATTTTAGTAATTTATTATAAATATAAGAAGTATTCTTGTTTTATATCTTTTACTAAGTGGCTTAAAAAGATTGCAAAATATGTTATTTAAATACTTAAAATGATTCAGACATAAACATTTGAGTTTTTCACGTACTTACAATGAATTTAAAGCAAAACTTTAATATTCTTAGCTCAGTAAATAACTTCATTAAATATCTTCTTAAATCTCAAGCCCAAGTTCCCAGTTGCCTGTACTTAATTTATTAAGTTTTAAGTTTATTAATTATATATGAATTTCGATTTCTAATAAGTATATAAATCTTCTTTAATATTCTTTAATTTTCGCTTCTAAAATCTGTTCCATTAAAATTTCTGTATTAAACCTAGAATTTAATGAAAGTCATTTGCCTTAGCTTCGTTTAAACATCAGACAGCAAAGTACTTAAAAAGCTGTTTTTAATTAATGTGAAATTCACAATATCAAATATTTTGTTCGTTTTCATCGCAGACCGAATCGATTAATTAATCTCAAGTTATTAATAGCACGACTCTGACTCTGGCCATTGTCTAAGCTGTAAGGTTCAGTAGTCTCTCTGACTAGGTCACTTAAGCAGCAACAAATTGCAGATGACGTCACAAAGTAATTATCGAAATGAACTTAAATTTGATAGTGTTTACAGTATACACGTAGCATACCTAGTTTTTAATTTATTCAATTGAATCAAAATGTCGAAAAGTTGCTGTTTGCAGTGGCAAAAGTTGTCTTTAAATGTTTGCCCCACCAACAACTTGTGCAACAATGTTGTTGGGAAAGTTTTTCACTGCTTTGTGGTAGGTCAACTGTACTAAATATTTTCCATGACTTTTTCCACAAGCTTTTCATTTTCTATACATTTGTTTATTTAATTTTTCCTTTGCGGTTGCGGCTAAAGTAAACAACAACAAACAGCGAGAGCTAGGCAAATGGCTGCTATTAATGAATGCATTTTAATGCAAGAATTAAGTTACATGAAATGTAACTTGAGGCACGTCACAGCGTCATCAGCAGCAGCAGCAGCAGCAGCAGCAGCGGCAACAACAATATGTTATTACCGCCTAAACAATATGTCGAATGTTTCTGCACTGATGCTAACGCCCTTGCCTATTGCTCGGATTGCGCCTTGGCCTCATAAGCAGTCAGATTAGAGTCAACTGTGCTGCAGAGGTGTAAATCTGATCAGATTGATTGCAATCAGCGAGCGAGAGAGAGACAGACAGATAGACAGAGAGTGAGAGAGGTAGAGATCGTGTCAGGTTCGCTTAAATGGGCAATTTAGTGCAGATTGCCAAAATTGGCAACAGATATTCTTGTACGACCCGGCCCAGTCCCAGTTGGACTTGGCTTGGCCAGTTGCTGGCACTTGTTGCATAGCTTTGACCATTCCAAGTGAATCGTGGCATGAAACAAGTTGTTGTTGTTGTTGTTGCTGTTGCTTGTGAATTGCTGTTGTGCGTTGTCTGTCTAACAGCATTGCACTTTTCATCGTTTACCGTTATAGCGCGCTATAAGGCCCGGACTATGCGATAGAGATCTCTCCTCTAGCCTATCCACCAGATGAATTGGCCAGCCACTAATGCTAATGCCAATGCTAATGCTCCAACTGCTCGCTGCCTATGCAATCTTCGTGTTCGACTGCCAACAGAGCCTCGAAATCCGCCACTTTCAACACGTTGAAAATAAAAAAAAAATAAAAAATAAATAAAAAACAAGGAAAGAATTCACTTTGCACTGTTCGTGCCAGCTTTGATTTCTGCTGTTGCCCTCCTGATTTACATGGCAATTAATTCTTGCCACGCGACGCTGCTTGCATGAAACGCGGCTGGCTTTCTAATGCCAACGACTGTCGAATGATCTTCAGCGTTCGATATTAAAATGATATTGTAAGAGAGAAACTATTATATTATTATACTATACATACACTCTTAACTTGATATGAATGATATCTGTGATGAGACACTCAACAAATTGTTATTGACGCATAACGATTTCGCCAGAAATCACGAAATATGGACATGTTTAGCGCATGAGTCGCGCGACTTGAGGCGAATTAATCTTTGAACTGTGAGCTATAAAAAAATATCAATGTATCCCCCACTAAGTCGAAAATTTTAATAAGCGATCAAAAACTGCTGCCTCTCCCTAGGAAAAATTCATTAGCTCATCAAAATTATATATATTTTGTTTCTCATTTTAATTCGTAGCATTTTTTTTCACACAAATTATATTTTATATCTTTTAAATTGTTATTGATATACAAAAATAATTTTAAAATTATATTGAAGCTAAAATGATATGGCTGATGAATGTATATAGTTCTGGAATATTGGAATTTGTATCAGATATAAAATATATTATATATGTATATCTTATGAACTTTTGCTTTATCTTGTTTGTTTTATTGTTTATTTATTTATTTTAATAACTGTACAAGAGTTACTAAAATAAATAAATAAACAATAAATCCACACTCAAAATTAAATAAATAATTTAAAAAATAATTAATGCAGTAAATAAATCGAGTTTAGCTGCCAAAGATATGCAAAGTAATTTCAAATATATTTTCATTGTAAAATTCTGAATTCACCAAGCTGATATACCCCTCCAGTTGTAGTTCTTGAGGCGCTCGTTACTGTAAGTAGGTGCACAAAAAGTTTACGCGACATGCAAGAAACAAGCAGCAATTAAGAGCAGTGCAAGTTCTCAGAGTCCGCCTTGCACCTGCGACGGCGTTCGCCCTGCGGTTGGTTACCTGTGGCTGCTTTTGGCGCCGAAATGACGTGAAAATTAACAAGTTCCGTGTGTGGGCTCTACAAATTGCATGCGATTAGAGATATTCGCGGCTAATAAATGCTGTTCGACAAACTGCGGCAGGCGCATAGCTCTGGTGGGCTGCGTGGGCGTGGCAGGCAGGCAGGCAGGCAGGCAGGATGTGTTGGAAGCACACACAGGATGTGGGGCTCTGGCTTTTGCACTTGCTCGCCCTGTTGATTGGCGCATTCGAGGCGCACGCCGCTTAAGTTTTCAATTACGCGGCAGCACAATGCGAAAGCAATTGAAATGCGCAGACAACAAGCACAACTAACATTTCCCTCTTGGAGTAATTTTACCCAGCAACAACAACAACAACAACAAAGCAGACAAAAGGCCCGTCGTGCGTGCGCCCAGCCGTGAAGAGGCTTGGTGCAGTTCGTTTTCAAATTGTTTGTTTTTGTTTTAGTGTGTGTGTGTTTTTTTTCGGGCATTTTTTATTTCTTTTCTCTTATTGGTGTGCACTGCAGGGAGTTGCTGTCTATTCGAAGTGAACTTGAACCTACTGTCTGCATTTTTGGGGATAGCCATTACAGCTGTAGCAGTTAGTTCTAGGGCCAATGGAGTGGCCTAGCAGCAGTAGACGGGGAATGAACTGGGCCGAGTTGCAGGAGCATGTACAAAACTGTTGCTGGAAATTGAAAATTGAAAACGATTGGCTAATCGATTAACATGTTATCGATGGTGTAGTTATAGAAAAATATATTTTTTAGTTCTTAAGATATTTACGATTTCTTTTTGCAATATCTAACTTCTATTGTTTGCTTACGACTTTTATTGGCTTTTGATTTATTATTGAAGGTCCAGGACAATATAGTTTCTATTGGATAGACAAGCATTGTCATTAAGTTTACTTTGATATGGAAGCATCGCGATTACATTCTTCATAAGTTTGACAAGATTCTGACCCTCAAGATAATCCCTTTGACCAATAGAGCCATACTCCTTATTAATCGCCAATATTTAATTCGTAAATATATTGAGATATTCTGTGGATCGTGACATGATTCCAATTCCCGGTCATAGGTTTATGATTCACTTTTAATATAATCCAAAAGGACAGCAAATTGAAACAGGCTAGAGTAGTTATTAGATGTTTGCCTCATTCTTTGCCTGTGGCTAGTTCCTAACAAAAACTAACAACAACAGAAACTCGCGTAATGTTTATGCAGTCAAGTAGATTCTTCCCTTTAGTGCGCCTCATTGGCACTATATTAGTCCATTGGAGCTCACTCAGACAGCTCGCATAGTGGAGCAGCGTAAAAGAATCTTCTGCTTGCTGCGCTTGCGCCTCGCCATTGGCACAGTTCTTGCCGTATGTATGCTCACATGCAACATGAGAGAAATGCATTTGGCAATCTCTTTTTTCTTGTTTCAAATAAATTTGTTGTTTACCCGGCTCAGTCGCCGCACCGACAACAACAACAACAACAACGAAGCAGACAAAAGGCGCGCCGTGCGTCCACCCAGGCGTGAAGGGGCACAGGGCGTGGTATGGTTAGAGTTTTTTTTTATTAGGTATTTTATTTTTTATTTTTTATTTTTTTGGGCCGCTGCAGGGAGTTACTGTCTATTCAAAGTGCACTTGAAACTGCTGACTAGCGGCGTCCCCCAGCTCCGCCCCAGTTGCTGCAGTCGCTGCATTTTTAGGTGTAGCTATTAAATTTAGAACTATTCTGCTGTACGCTCGTCTGCACGCGAGAAAAGCAGAGCAGGAGACAGCGCTGGAGCATGAAGCAGAATGCATCAAATATGCGAGAAAAGCTGCATTTGTTACTAACCTACAGAACCAACGACAAAAGAAATTAGCCAAAGAATTTCTTGGCGCTTTCCACTACATGGAAATCGTTTCATTCGACTAATGAAATTCCTGTGCAGAAAAGCCATCATAAAAGATGTGAATGTTACTCAAACTAATAAATAATGAAGATTCTAATGTTAATGGCTATATATACATATATTAAAGCATAAACAAATTATGCTTATGTTGCACGCTCTGCCTCCCTAGTTATTGTTAATGTGCCGACTGAATCTGTCCTATTAACAATTTTACTTGAAGCATTTTTGCTTTGTTTATTCTCCAAAGAACTTTTAACAAAAATTTTTAATTTATTTTTATTTTTGTTTTGGGCAGCTCTAAAATTAGTTTATTTTATGCAAGTTTTGTAGTTGCTTCTCTTAATGCTTTAAAATTATAATTCCTTATTTGCTTTCTGTGAAGAGCATCCAAAATCTGCAGTTTTTAATGCGATTTTGTCATCGCTGTTGCTGTCCTTTTTCTGTTGTTGTTGTTGTTGTTGCTGCTGTCTCGTGCTGTTGCCAGCTGCATGTGGCCGCCTTTATTGTTTTCGTTCAGCTTTCCGCCTGCATCTCAGTTTCCATTTGCGTTGGGCTGAATTTTATTTTTAGTCTGCTTGCGGCGGGTTTCCGATTTTAATTCTTTCATTTTCATTTTTCTTTTTATTCTATCTGTTTCTTTTTTTATTTATTTTTTTTTTGCGCATCTTTCGATTTTTGTTTTATGTCTTTTGTGGTAGTTGTGCTCGTTGATTTGTTGCCATTTTTTGTGTGCGTTTTTTTGTTGGTTCACTTTGCTTGAATTTGTTTGATTTTCCATTTAAGTTCAGTTTGTTTATTAAAATTGGCACACGGCGCGTATGTGTGATGTGCGTGCATCTACTTTAGAGGGGGCAGAAGGGGCCTCCTCCGCTCTATCCCTAGCTAAGTGAACATATTTTCGTCGCACTCTCTGGTTTTATATTTCCAATTCAGTTTGTTTATCGTTTTGATTTTGCTTGGATATTTTTCTTAAATGTTTCACTGTCTTTTAGTTGGACAGGAGATTCTTATCTGTGTTATTCCCGTTTATGTGGGTCACGGTGTCAGGGACTTGTTTATCAACAATTTCAGCAACAAATGAAATTTTATTATGGTATTTTAAATGTTTCAAATTCCTTGTCAACTTATGTGTGCAACTATATATAAAGCTATTTAAACTAATATCAGCAAAATCCAAACTAAAATATTTATAAAATCAATATTTAGATTTCTATCTTTAAATCTTGAAAAAAGTAAAATTTATGTATATCTGCATGTGTTTATTCATTTATACATATAAATGTATTTTCGCAAACATGTTTCAGTGTTTATTTACAAATAAAAATGAAACAAAAAAGTCTTTAATAAATCACGAACGATTGGCGCAAATCAAATCAAATTTCTGTATACAAATCATGATTGATCTTGCCAATTGGCAAAGGTGATGTACAGAGAATAATGCTTTAAATAGTCTAACAAATATTGACTCACAGCTGAGGCATTAATTGAAATTTATTGGCTTCGGGCAGTTCCTTGCCAAAATTTCATTCAATTGAATTGAAAGTTTTCTCTGTTCGCCATGTTAAGTTCACAAAGGGCAAGCCAGCCAGCCAAGCCGTCTGCTGGGCCCACAAAAGTGGGGGGAGTCGGTACATTGAAACTGTTGACAAGCTGCCTGGCCCCCAGTCCGAAATCCAACCCCAATGGACCAAAACTTTTCAACACCTTGGGCAACCGAATGCGTCGCCTGCCTCGACAAGCAGCAGCGCCCCCATATGCCCGCCCGCTGCTCATATCTTCTGTCTTGGCTATTTTTATTGATACAACAGCAACAACAGCAAGCAAGAGCTACAAAAACAACATATGAGTTATGCAGACATTTATTTACCTTTTTGATTTCATAAATCCAAAAAAATGTGTGAGCCGTCGTCGCCGTCGCCGTCTGCAGTTGTTTTGGGTTTTGTTTCTTTGTTTTTCAATTGTGAAAACTTTAATGTATATTCTGTTATTTTTAACACTTTTTAGCACTGTGTTGGAGATTTGTTGATATTTGATTGAAATTCTTGCTTCATTAAGCTCAACGCGCGCACATTGCGAGAATCCGAAATGGAATCTGAATCAATTTAAATTCCACAGCATTAGCTAATTAGTCATAGAATTTGTTAAAAATCTATTTTGTTTTTATTTAAATATTCGATTAATTTTTTGAGACTGTATTTTAAATTAACGCTTGCCTCATGCACAAACACACACAAACACAGATTTCGCGCTGATTAACACAATAAAAATTCTGTTTTGATTTTTGTTTTATCTTCCGAATAAATCCGTTTTATTTCCACGACTTTGCTTAGCGAAACTTGTTTGATATCATTTTGCATATAGATGTTTTTTATTTGTATATGTTTGCTGGCGCTTTTTTATTTATGTTTATTTTTATTTTTGTATTATTTTTTGTGCTTTTATTTTGGACCGCAGCTCGCCAAGAATCGGTCGGATATGCGCGCTGCAGCCGCGTATGTGGGAAAAGCCTCGAAGAACAGTTTTTCCAAAACGTGCGAGCCGCGTGTGTCAGCAGCGTGCCTCTGCAACTGCGACTGCCACTGTATGCGTGTGTGTGTGCCAGTGTGTGTGCGGCCGGCTGCTAAAAATATCCGTGAGTACGCGCGCGGCTGATGTGTATCTATGTATCTGTATCCAATAACCCGAGATGGCGCACAAAAATACACTGCCCGTTGCGGTGGCTGCTGCTGCTGCTGCCGTTGCCGTTGCCGTTGCCGTTGCTACTTGGAGAAAGGTGCGTTTGCGTCTCTGTTTTCGGTTTCGATGAGCTGCGTCTGCTCGCTGCGCTAGTTCGCTATGCACTGAGCAGCGATTGCCAGCGACGCCGTCAGCCGTCAGCCGTCAACTGTCAACCGTCCGCTGTCCGCCGTCCGCCGTCCGCCGTCTGCTGTCCGGCGTCAATGTCGTCCACGCTCTGGCTTTGACTCCGTTAGCCAAGCCAACGCGTTGTCTGAGTAGGCTTATTGTGGTATTTGTTATTGTGGCTGCTGACTTGGTTGCCCACACAGAACATGCTGTTGCGCTGAGCGTGCGGCGCGCTATTGAAACGATCAATGAATGAAATGCGGCATTAAAAAGCAGCACTTTACGCTTGTATCTTACAGATACGAGTACGAGCCACAGCTCACCAGCTCACCAGCTCGCCAGCTCGCCAGCTCTATAGCGACCAATAAACCGCTAAACCCACTGTCTGAGCGGAGATCGTTTCTCGGCAACGCCAACACACAGCGTCATCGCAGCCCGCAGAGCAACAACAAACCAGTTCTCGGTGCTCTCCACTCATTCCACTCGCACTCACCCACTCAATTCACTCGGCCTGTGTGGGTGTCGCTGCGTTGGCAGGCCGGTTGGTCGGATCACTCGATCTGAACATTTTTCGATGCTCTTGAGTGAGTTTAGTGCGATTCGTGCTGGATTTTCGTTTTCATTTCGAGTTGAGTTCGTTGCGTTGGAGCTCTCTCTGAGATTTGTTTGCTGCGTTTGCGCTCTGGGTATGATCTAATATTGCCAGGCAGTTATTTATTTAAATTTATTACAAATTTTTTATTTATGTCGCTGCGCTGCTTGACATTCATTTATATATCAGTCAAACATTGTTATGGCCCACAGATACATACAATTGCAATTTGTTCATTTCTGACTACCTTCGACTGTTTTCCACACTATTTTGGAACTTTTGCCGAATTCTTTCGCAGCACAACCAGCGGCTATTCAGAATGATGATGACATACATAGATCTCCAAATCATATTAATGGCATCTCTGAATTGTGTTGAGCATTTTAGCACTAAAGGTAAATAATATGCATAGAAATTAGTTTTAATTTCTGTTTGCTTAATATATTCTGCATTAAAACTGTATTAAGATTTTTTGTTTGCTTAAAAAATGTATTTATAGCTCAGTTAATATGAAGATGTTTAGATAGGGATTAAAGCAATATAAAATGTTAATTGCATAATCTTGATGAACTTGTTAATAGCATATCATTTATGTCATAGCAGATGCTCCCCCTCAGTCTCGTGCTGCAGTTTTAAGTAATTAATATAATATATTTTTTATTTATATGAGACTTTTTATTTTTTTCTTCTGCTAGAATATATATACGCAGGCATTTAATTTATGTGAAAAGTAACATTAATCTATATGAATATTATTTAAAATATATAAAAACAATTAAAATAAATCTTCACTTAAGTTAATCTAGCTTAGATACTACTAGACTTTTATGGAAATTCTGCTATGTTCATTGTATAAGCAAATAGTTATAATTATTGATGGCAACAGGCAATTGATAATTGCAAAATGGATTTGCTCCTGCGGGCAAAACAAGTTGAATGACGACATGCTCAAGCGAGATATTATGCATATGAATGGCCGTTGATAAATTGCTGGCTGACAAGATGAATCGACTGATCGACTGACTGACTGACTGATCGACCGATCGACCGATCGACTGATCGAGCCAACAGCAGCTGACTGGCTGGCACGCTCATTTGTCTGACGATCAGTTCGTCATTGTTGTCTTTGGCGTTTTGTGTTCTGGCACACAGAGAAACAAATAAATCATGATGATAACAATTAAATTTGATTATAATTTTTCAACAGCTCCGTCAGCTGTTTGCCTGTACGGTGTTCGCTGCTCGGCAGTGCGCTGCATAAATTATATTCATGTCGCAAGGTCAGCGAGTGAAAAATTAAGGCATGCAACATTAATTTGATTTGCGTGCGAATCGTGCTGCTTTTTTTTGGGGAGCGACTGTTCCGTGGGGCAGCAAAAGACACAAAGCATACATACTTAAAATGCTTATATAAGTCTACAAATTGGCCAATAGCATTCGGCCATAATACGCTGACAACTTAATCTACAGCCAGCCAAGACCAAAGACAGGAACATGACCAAACGCGCCATAATTAAAAAAACAAACGTCACATTTTTATTATTTTTATGCTTGTCTATCTATTTTCCTTTTTTATTTTTTATGCTACAGTCTAGAAAGACAGGGGCTTAGCTGAAAGAGGATTTATTCAAATAGATGGATATTGAGAGAAAATTATATTTGTCAAGTCAATGATTTGCTTTGAGATTGAATAAAGTCTTAAGTCAGACTGAAGAACATTTCTGTTTAATAATAATCTTTATATTTATTTTTAATTTAATTAGAAAATATTTTGCTTATAGAAATATAAAGAATATAATATAATATTAAGAATACTTTCAAAGCGTTCGAGTTACTTGAGATGGATGATTCAGGGTTCTATAGAACTGCTATCATTGTGAGCAGAGTCCCCTTCTGTCGCCGCCCCTGGCTGCCAATTGCTCATGCAAATGCTTTAAAGGCGACTGACTATGCACGCATTTGAATTTTCTACTCGCTCTGGCTTTTAATTACCAGCCTGCAAAATCGCGTTTGCCTGAATATGGTAACAAAATGCGAGACCGAGTCTATGAGTCGTTTGGGGGTACTGAACGCCGATGATTCGTAGTGCTCGCCGCGGCCTGGTAATGGAGCCCGCTTAGGAAGCAGGAGACGCGACGCGGGCCTTTTATGGATCGCTTTGGGAAAGCGGTGAGAAAGCCAAGTATCTCAGCCGAGCTCGGCTAATTGTGAGCATCGCTCTGGGCCAGCTTCTTGACAAGTTGTTGGCGTCGCTGTTAGCTGCGCTTTTTGCGTTGGCGCTGGGCCGTCGCCTGTGTGCGGGGGCGTTGCGACGTTGATTTTATTTATATTTTACGTAAATTTATTATTACAAATATTGTTATTGCCGCTTTCAAGCGGAAATACACTCGAGTCGAAGCCAAGCAAGCCAAGCAGCCGCCCACGCGCCCAATCCAAAGCTGAAACAACAACCACCTGCACTCTGGGCCACTGCGCCGACTCATTCACTCATTCATTCATTCAGCTGGGGAAGTGGAAGCTGGCGACCGAGAATGATCTTTGTCTATGGCCAAGATAAGCGCTTGAGTGGAATAGACGGCTTGACTCTCGAGCGGAAATGCCGCGCGATTAAGTCGTTGTTTCTAATTAATTTTATACGCATTTTCATTCAGTTTTTATACATTCATTTGTTTTTTATTTTTTTATATTTTTTATTCAGAAATAATTTGCATAAGTGACGGCCACCTAGAAAGTATGCCTGACTTTGAGTATATGGACGTGGGTGTCTTTAATTAACTCGTTTATCAGCTCATGAATGGCAGTGCACCGATTCAGTTTGGGTATGTATTTTAGGGCAGCTGAGCAATATGTATTTGGCTGAGAAGCAATTTAAAATTTGTTTACCTATTTTAATAATTTATTTTCTATATTTATGCAGGTAAAGCGGGTTAGATTTAGTCTAGCTGAGCAGCTCCTACTAGTTTGGGTTATATGTATTTAGCTATAATTTGATGCAAATTTAGCGGCATCCAAGCTAGATTTAGTAGATTAGAATACATTTATAACTAATAAATCATAAATTCATATTAACTTTATAATATATTCATAGCTCATTCTCAGTCGGAACTTGCTGAACTCCCGCTTCTACTCAGAGAGCAACAGGTAGATACCAAACCACATCAAAGTTAGTTATTGGAAATTATTCAATTTTAAAAATAAACTAATTATACATTTTATAATAAATTTATCAGAATTTGGCAAATCAATTTATTAAATACCTTTGCTAATTCACTTAAAGCAAGTCAAATTCATGGAATTGTGTTAGAATTTAGACGCTTTCTTTGAATTGAATGCTATTTATATCGAACTTTGACGTCTGCATCTAAATTCCTAAGCTGATATTTACATTAAGTGCCAAGGTGGGCGTTGTTTCATTAACTTTGACAGCTTGGAAATTCGAATGCCTTCATTTTACACTCACCATGGCGATTGCTCAATGACTGCTAGGCGAGCGTAGGTAAGGCCGGATTAATAAGTTGTAAAATCGCTCAGATTAACTAATGACAGCAAAATTGACTGACAATCGGAGAATTAATTTCTGTCTGCATTATTTTGCATGCATAAATAAAATAATATGAGAACTATTATAAACTAAAGCTAATCGTGTGCTCAAATTAATACGCATTCACTGCCTGGCTGACAAAGCATAACAAATCATGCCTAGGCACGGGCAACAGCCACATCTTGGCCAAGTTAATCGTGAGCGATGGCTGTGACTGTGTGTGAGTGTGTGAGTGTGTGTGTGTTATGTCTGCTGCTCATTGAAACGTGATTTTGACTTGCGATTGCCCACTTATTGTTGTTGCCTTCTGGTCGGCCGTCAGCATTTAAGTCATTTAACATTATATATCAGATGTATGCTGCCAGCTGTAATCCCCAGCAGTGTTGTCGTCATCGACCGGCATCGGCCGCTGTTGATGCTGTTGGTTTTATTAATTTTCCTTCAATTAATTACGCTACAAATTGTCAACAAAACGCAAACGCAATCCACTCCTAATCGCCACCAATGCAAATCTCTATGGGCCACAAACTGGAATTGGACAGCGAACATGACATTGGATTGGTTTGGTTTAGGATGTGGATGATGTGGGGTACATTGTCCGAGTGTGAGTGTGTGTGTGCGTGTGTGCAAGTCCATTGGCCCGGAAAATGTCTGCTGGCGGCATTAACTCATCAGCGCCAGCAACAATAATCAAAATCAAAATCAGCAGAATCAAAATCGAAATCTGGCCCAAACTACTCGCAAACCGGGTAAGCAAATATTGATTGGCTCACTCTCACAATGCCCATGCTTGCTGCCAATTCTAATTGCTGCCGCATTGCGAGCGGGCCATGGAAATGAGTCGCTGCAGGCGGCTGATGAGTGAATAAATGCGTATGCAAACTGACAGGCGGCAATAATTTCAACGACTTGTCAATGCTGATGCTCATCAAAGTGACTTCTCATTGGCCTGCATGGGGATAATATATTGCCTCACCTCTTCTCCGAAAATGTTGACAAAACGCCAACGCCAACGCCAACGCCAACGGCGACGCCCACAACAAACGCTGGCCGAGATTCTATATAGGCTGTAGTTTTGATAGGTGCGTGTCTGCTTTATAAATAAAGTGCCTCGGATAAAGATAGCCAAGTGCCCATGTTGGCAGGTGAGCTGCGCACCTTGGGGACAGCGACTGGGCGAATATGCTGCGAATGGGGTTAAGTACGTAAATAAACTTAAGATGAACAACAAACATAATCTGATACAAAGCGAAATGAACATGCTAAATCTATGTCACACAGATCAAAGGGCAAACAGTCCATAACAATGTGTGGACATAAATGTAGATTTATTGACGTAAATCTGATTTATTATGATGCATACTTTAGGTCTTGATCTATAAAACAAATATGAATACATATACATATACATATACACACATTCAAAAACTAATTGTGAAGAAGAGAGAACACTTACGTAAATGTTTTATGATCGGGTTTCAACAGGTCTTGCTCAATAAATCCGATTCATATATATACCCATATAATTTGATGTTTATTTTCACTTGTCTTTTATAGGCCGCAAATCGCCTCGCAGCACTGACACATGACGGACTACAGGCGATGCGCCTTAAAACGCTTGAAAATTATTAACAAATTGGCGAGTCTTTGATGTTGCGATGCTTGCAGTTCATGTGCTGCTACGCATATCAAAATGCAATCATTTGGTGGAGCAGAGCAGTCGAAAAACGCAAATTCAAATTCAAAATCGAAATCGAAAAGCGAAAAACGAAATGCGAAATGTGAAACATGAAGAAGTATGGCAAAGTGTTAAGAGGGCCATTAAATTATGACAGCAGCTATTTATATGCGACTGAAGTCAGTTATTTAAAGATCATCGAGCCGCCAGCGACGGGACGCCAGCGTCGCTGTGTGTCACATCACGAATGTCGCCTTGGGTTTCGGCCTGTAATTGCAAATAATCACCGTCAATTGGCGTGGCCAAAACGCTGCGGCGCTAGCGTCGAGGTTCACAGCCAAAAGCCAGTCGACCGATCAGCCAAGAAGAAGAAGAAGAAGAAGAAGTATATAAGAAAAACAAAAAGGTTGATTATGTTCCTGATGCTGCACATTGTATACGCTTTTCTATAAATAGAGATCTACATATTTGTTGCCATAACTAGCAGAGCTATACGAGTTTGATATAATCTTAGGACGGACTAGTCGAGATATTTATTTAATTATATATTTGTTGATTTTAGTAAAATATTTATATAAATATATATGTAAAATATTTATATTATTATGTAAAATATTCATTTCTTGATTATGTATCTTTAGACGACTTTCATTTATAGTAGAATTAATTTAAAAAAATTTTTCACTATATTTGACAATTTGAATATCTGCCGTGGCAGTTATTCATAAAGATTGCCGTAAGTCTTTCATACTCCGTAGGTTACACACTAAATGACAATGTAATGACACCCTATGGCAGGGTATTTAAGAAAGGGAAACAAAAAATAAAACGGCAACTCAAGTGGCCTACGCACGGGTCCATACAATAAGAGACACCTACCCAGGGCAATAAAACGCGTTTCAATTTCAAATTGGTTGCCAGTCGCTTATTATTATTATTATTGTTGTTGTTGTTGTTGTCATTTGCTTTTGTTGCTGTATTTTTTCTTTATTGTTGTTTCACATTGAATGCTGTTGTTTTTATTATTGTTGACTGGACGCTAAATACTCGTGCGAATTATTTTGTTACTGGAGGCCAGCAGTGCTTGGACTCCGCTGGCTAGGCGCCACCCCCTTAGAGCTCACAGCTATCGGCACGTTTTTCTATTTGGCTTTCTGGCTTTCTCACCCAAATATATAAATATTGCCATTGGCGAGGTGAGAGATAGAGCACAAGACGCAGGCGTAGCCCGCGTTCCAAGCAACAAATATGCTCATTAGATAAACAAGCATTCGTGATCGTGGGTCAGCCCAGAGAGTTGGTCGAATCAATTATAATTCGCGTTAAATAAATATAAGCACATTAATTATAATAATTGACCAACTTGGTTAGCATGTTTGGTATTTTATCAGGGACGCTATCACAAAATCTCACCTTTATTAAATGCATTTTAGCACAGGAAATTATTAGTAGTCATTATAAGACTTGAGACATGAATATCTTATATAAGTATTTACTATACGTTTCCTGGAATTTGTGTTGGCGTTCAAATTTAATGACCTCTTGACTAATACACATCTGTAAATATATAATGAATAGTTGAATATTTAAGAAGTTGCATAAAGTGAGAGTTTCGCTTGTATTTTTTGAATACTTTGATATTTACATATATCCAATGTTGATTATGTTTATGTATTTCCATCGACACTCTAACTTTAGTTACTATAAAAAGGGAACAAATTAAGAAGCTTATTTAATTTATTATTAAATTTTATCATTAATATTGCAATTATTAGTTAACCTTGAGAAAGCACGTCACAAATACAATTAATAACAAGGCCCAGTCCACTAAGAAAACCTTCAATTAAATACTAAATTATTATAACCAAAAAATACTGTCTCAGATCAAAGCAATGCACGCACCACATAGACCACCTTGGGCAGACGTTTCAGCGGTGCTGTGTGGGATATAAAAAGCATTGAAAACAATTTCAATGTACTTTTGGTATTTAGTACGGATACTACAAAATACTAAAAATACTGTGACTACTGACGATTGATCGACTGATAGAGAGTAAATTGCCAACACAAGTGAAGCAGCTTCTGAGTTGGCATTTTACTCTCGATTGACTTTTATAGTTATGATAATACTTCATGGTATTTTTCTCCTTATCAGAAGAGTTTCCTCATGCTCCTCATATTTTAATAATATTTTTTTTTGTATTTTTCTCTCTATCAGAAGAGTTTCTTCATGTCCTCAGCTTGGGCAGGCACTTGTTAGCTCGTAGACGGCTGGCTCTTTTGGTCTCTTTCTTGCTCTCTTCAATTTCTTTATTTATTTATTTAGTTTTTTGACTTGCAACCAATTGGTTTGGCTTTGCCCGCGCAGTTTTCCCACAAGCCAAGCATTTGAAATAATCAAAGCTAGCTGTTGCCTGTTGGCCAGCTCTTATTGCCTTGTAGTTACATATATGACGAGTGCTGGTAGTACACTCGTAGTCAATGTTTGTTTTGAGTTGTGAGCTGTACCCTTTCCTAATATGGGCAGGCGGCCAGCATAGGCTTGTAAGCGCGATTGTGTGTAAGTGTGTGTGTGTGTGTGTGCCGCGCTCGCACTGGCTTGTGCAACTTATCCAATTGGAAATGAAAAACTCTGACCTACTAATCACCGAGCCAAAAAGCCAATAAGAGTCAACAGCAGCGGCGGCAGCACAACAACAAGTGCCACAGAGCAGACAGCGACAGCGACAACAGCGTCGACAGCCCAAGAAATCAAAAGATGGACAATAACTTTAAACCAGTTTCGAGCCGTTCGAGCCTTGTTGCAAGTTGGCTCGCACTGAGAACTGTTGCTGCTGCAGCGCCACAAATTTGTTTTGAATTTGATTATTGTATATGAAGTTATTGGGCGCACAGGTTGCCCCACTGTAAGCCAGAGCCAGAGCCAGAGCCAGTCCCAATTGACATTTTATGCCGCATTAAGCGACAACTCGTACAGACAGACAGAAAGACAGACAGAAAGACAGACATAAAGACAGATAGACAGACAGCTAGTCAGACGGTAACTGAGGCCAATCGCAAATTGCGGCGTTTCACAAAAATTATTATGTTAAATTTAACTGGAAATAGCACACAAGGACATTTGCGCATGCGCCCCCAGACGGCGCCGTCGCCGATTGCTGGCTAAATTGATGACGACGACGTTGAGAGTGTGGACGAGGGCAGAGCTGGGGCATGCGGTGGGAGACTGGGAGACATTTGGAAGACAAAGACACAAAGTTAGCTGAGATTATCGTAGTTTTGTTGTTGTTGTTGTTGCTTATTTGCTTTGGCATAAATTTCAATTGCTCGCATTTAACAACAATTTAAAGCAAATTAAATTTTGTGCAGCCGCCGATGATTGGCTGCTGATAGGCGTGTGTGTGCGCCACCAAGCGCCATCTATTGGCGGCTGGCGGCAACGGCGACGGCAACGGCAACGGCGCTGCCATGTGCATATAAAGTAATTTTCTGCTACATTAGGTTTGCGTTTGGCGTTCACAAGATGGCAAATCGGCCCAGTAAATTGGTGAACTGTAGCTGAACGACTTTTCAATACGCTGCCATAAGCCAAGCTCAGAAAGTGGGCGTCAGAGTGTGATATATGTATGTATGTGAGTTATTTATAACATTCCAACTTGATCGATGCGATTGATGCTTTGGCAAAACCTTTTTCGTCATATTTACGGCCCATAAGCATAAAATTCATTTCGATTAACATTTTGAGCACTTTGACCATAGTTGTGGACTTTATGATTTACGCTTATGGCTCGAATTTCATATATCTTAACTTTATATATGAGCAATCATTTTTTTTATACCAAAACACATATTATTAAAAATAAAAATCAATCTAAATTTAATTTAATTAATTAAAAATTTGTTTTTATTAAATTAAATTTTATTTTTAAGTTTACTTTGTGCCACATATGTAGATTAAAAATATATTTTAGATATTTCAAGTGCAGTATTTTCTGATTTTTTCCAAACTCTATCTGCATTGCTGTGATATTTTAATTAACTCTTGTGAATCGCATTTCTCCCTCGTTTTTAATTAATAAAAGTGCAAAATGGAAGCACGCCAAGAGGCGTGAGGCCTTGAGGCCTTGAGATTGAATAGGTCGCAGCAGACAAGCTAATCTACCCAGCCTTTTGTTACTCGATACTCGGCCAATATGCTCTGCCCCAGTGTGTGTAGAGCAACAATTAAAAGAAATTATTATAGATTTGTTTTGGAGCAGTGCTTCTGGTGCTTCTGCTGCTGGTTCGTTGGCTTCTTGGCTGTGTTCCGCATTGCCATTTGCCAGCTAAACCGCCCACCAGACCAGAGCATCGGCAGCAGCGGCTCCGCCATCGGCGCCCACATCAAATGCTCCACTTAGACGCGCTCCATTGTTTCCGCATTCGATTAAAAATGATAAATGCCTGACTGCGCTTAAGTAAAAGACAAAAAAAAAAAAAAACAAAATGAAAGAGGAAAGCAACACACACATACATACACAATTGTTATAGAGGCAGTCTGTGACTGTGGGCCCAGTTAGCTACTTGGCTGCCTCTCCTGACCAT